GTTTTTGCAAGGTAGCACAACAAATCAGTTATGCTTGCAAATTGTAGCAGGCTACTAATAGAGCCAGTGATTTGCACACATCCCTCTCTTCTTGCAGCCACCCAAGAATTTTCAGCCTTGCTTGCCATGGGAAATGACCCATAAAACTGAAGAATTTATTGTTGACCTATACATAATGAATGATGAACAAAATAGACTAAACCATCACAACGTAATCCCCAAAATATTCAAATCTTAAGGACCATTTGAATTTCCATGACCAATTAACCTTAAGGCCAAGAGTCTTGTGGAGTCATATGCCAGCATAACTATGGAGGCAAAGGTGAGGGCACCAGGAAGAAAAATGGTATAAGACTCCATCTGCATTGCTATATAGTTCTGTTTCATAATAGTTAACTGTATTGAACTGCATTATATAACAGTGTAGATTGGGCCTAGCTTCTTTGCTGATCAGCAAAAGAATAAAGACAAGGCAGCAGCAATAATAAAAAGATGCCTGCTGCCAAATCCAAGTAGCACATTCTTTTGATAGCAAGTTTTTGGGGAAGAGGTCCTCAGAGCCAAGAGCTTGTAGTAATGTCTGCCTGATAACACAGCTGATTTTCTAAGCCATCTTTCACAGAGCAAGTGGGCTTGAGTGGGTCTCTCTGAAAACCAGCGTGCTGCTTCTCCTGTGAAAGGTCACAACATGAACATTGCGCATCAGTTAGATTCTGATTGTCAGTGAAACATACTATCATTGTCTAGATTGCATATTTACTTTGTGTGAGGATCCTTCTCTTTCATTATGTTTGACTCATGTCTTAGGAACACTCTTAATAGTTTTCTTTTGTTGGGTAGATGTTTTTTTTTTCTCACTCCACTCTTTACTTGTTTTGGATTAGAAAAGATATGTATACTTTTCATATTGGAAAATTCTGACTTCCCTTGAAGTTAAGTCCTGCCTGCCATAAAGATGACTCTCCATTCCCACAAAGAAATTTACCAGCAATGAATTAGTGATTTGGACATTAGGAAAGAGGATTTCAAGATCAGTTGTTGTGGTACTTCATGAAGTATGCATGTGCTAAAACATCTTTTTGCAAAACACTCTGTTTACTACTTTGGAATCAGAAAATGTACTTTTAAAGTTGCCAGACAGTATTTTAGCACAAGAACTGAAATGTGGGCTAATGCACCGCACAATGATTGAGACCAAAAAAAAATATGTTAAAACTTTTTAGTTGAGTGTAGGTTGAATGGCTCATTGCTGAAACCATGAAACTCGTTTTTTATGTTATTATTTTTTCCCCAGAGTTTGTCACTGCAAGCCGACAGCTAACAAGTAACACTTGCTGGTGTTACATGCTAATGGACTATAGACACCTAAGGGCCCAATTGTATTGGGAGGGTGAGAGAAGTCAGATGAAGCAGTGCTTTTACATTAAAGCATTCAGACCTCAGAGGTCACAAAACCTCTTATTCTGCTCAAGGCTTTTGGGAACATGGAGAGTCCCCAACTTTCAGCAGAGTAATGAATGGCACTTGCTGACTAGTTACATTTTTGCGAGGTTTTTTGGGCTGCCAGCAGGGGTTAGTGCTGCTTGGCATAATGAGCCAAAATCTGTATTCTAAATGCATACAGGTCTCCTTGGTTGGTTTGTACATTCACTTTTATTTATAGAGGTGATAATATTTGAACTAGCTGTGCTCTGTAGCATTTGTCTTAAAGTTCGTAAATGCTGTAAATGCAGGACAGAGAGTCTGCTCTCAAAGAGTCTCCTGATTGACCTTGACAATATCAGAATAGGTTCCAATATCCAGTCAGACACCACTGTGACACTTGGTGGCATCATGGAACAAATAAGCCTGCCATGGCTGGTGCCAGAAAATATAGAAAGATGGATAGATGGCCCCTCTTTTCTGCTTATAAGTTATCTAGCATGGCTGTTACTTGGTAACTATGAAGGAAGCTGTCTGTATATTTCTGGGTAAGCAGGACCAGATGACACCTTGCTTAGGTGCAATGATCTGAGGGCCCTGATTCATCCAGTTACTCCAGGTTGAGTACCCTTTATCTTAAATGTTTGGAACCAGAAGTGTTTTGGATTTTGGATTAGTTTTGATTTTGAAATACCTGTATTTGCATAGATGTACACAATGAGGTGTCTTGGGATGGGACCTAAGTCTAACCACAAAATTAATTTATGCTTCATATATGCCTTATGCATATAGTCAGAATGATTTTGTGCATGAAACTAAGTATGTGTACATCGAGTATTCAGATAGCAAAGGTGTCATTATGTCAGCCACCATGTGGAAATGTTTGGATTTGGGAGTAATCCAAATTTTGGAATTCTGGATGAGGGATGCACAACTTGTATTCAGTTTAAGATTAAGGAATATGCTGAAGTAAAACTTGGCTACTGACAGTACAAAGATGTACCTTCATTAGTGACAAATGGATTTTAAACAATGCAGTAGCAGAAAATAGATACAAAGAAGTGTACTTGTGTTTCTTTTGTTGAATGCTCACACAGCATCAAGTACAAATGACTATATCATATCCATAACCATCTTAACTATACATCTATTCAAGTATATATTCTTATCTGTTGAGGAGATACACCTCTAACAACTTTTTGAGGAGATACACCTCTAACAACTTTTTTGACAGCATATTGGGACAAATGATTAGCCTATCAGTTTTTGAGGAACATAAGCAAACAGCCCCCTTCAACTGTGGGAGACATGCCAGACATGTGGTCTGACTTGAGCTTTATCTTAACTGCTTTTCTTCTGTCTTCAATCCACTCAGGTTGCCAGATTATCCAATCAAAACAATGAGACTCATTATCTCTGTCTTATCTCTAGCCAATTAAGCAAAAATATGTTTATATTCCACACCTATCTTGTGTACACAGGAGCCTTTTGGTTGCTTGTCATGTAATCAGGATTTGGTTGGGTGGGTTATATGTGATTATGGGATTTCTGCCAGGATTATAACATGTCTTGTCTTATCTTCCTCAAACAAGATAGACACACTCTTACTACTTATTTATATTCCAGTGCAATTTTGCTCAAATTTAGGCTGAATCTTTCCACAGATACATACACAGATTTTCACAGATCTAACCACCTGCATTAAGTTTTATACTACAAATGCTATACTCTATAGCAGTGGCTCCCCATCTTTGGTCCTCCAGAGATGGAGGTGGTTCCTCCATCCTAACAGCTGGTAAGTTGACTGGGATTTCTGGAAGTTAAAGTCCAAAACAACTGGAAGGTCAGAGGTTGGGAAGCACTGCTCTATAGTGTGGTGTAAAGGTTTGATCATTGGACTGTAACTTTGGAGACCAGGTTTTTAAATCCTCACTCAGCTGTGGAAACCCATTGGGTGACCTTGGGTAAATCACACTTTCTCAATCTCAGAGGGAAGCAAGAACAAATCTCTGAACAAATTTCTGCAAGAAAACCCCATGATAGATTCACTTAATGTTCTCCTAAGTCAGAAATGACTCGGAGGCACACAACAGCTATGCAACTCATGTTTGTCAGATTGCAACCCAAAGATTCCTGAAGCAGCAGGAGAGTCAGTCATGAAAGGGAAAAGTAGCATAACTACATGAAACTAGTATTTACCAAACAATCTCAGCCATCTCTTTGATAGAGAACTATTACAGTGCTATCAAACCACCTTTAGGTATATCTTTTGAGAATGAGTGTTAAAACGTGCTTGGTACAAAATCATCCTTTTTGGAGAGCAGGTTATTCAGCTGCCAGGTTTGTGAACTGGGAATATACTTTTAAAGTCGAGTACGTAACCTATTGTGGTTGTGTGTCATTTTTTACTTACGATGACCCTAAGGCAAATCTATCATGGGTTTTTCTTGACAAGATTTGATGAGGGGGGTTTGCTTCTGGAACTGAGAGGGTGTGACTTGTGATTTGTTATAATATACCACATGGGTTCTCAAATAAGAGTTTCCATCGTATAGTGATTTCAGTCTATTTTTGAAACAGCAACATTGCTTGCAATGCCAGCCTTGCAATAGGGTACTTTGAATTCTAAGAATGCCTGTTTGTTCAAATGGATCATTGTACTTTCTTTGAAAATAGCTTCTATTATGTTCACTGAATACTGTCATATTTGCCAAGCTTTAAATACCTTAGCCACCTTGCCTGCATCTTCCTACTTATTATTGTGTGATTTGTTGCAATAGCACCTTTGTGACAACAGATTATTGTAATAAATGTCACAAAAACATCTAAGAAATGCAGGTTCCTTATTGAGATTGTTATGGTAACTTTCGCTTTGGGACTAGCTAGATTATTAATTCTACCCACCCATCCACTTGTGCATTTACCTCACACTCATTCTCATTGGCTTAAGTTTCCAATCAGATCTTATTCTGGAAATTTAAACTTCTACTCTATATCTGTCCAATAATATTTATGACTGAGTTGTCAGGAAGTGGTAGTGTTATTAATAATCTATATGAAGCACTTTAAATGTATCAAGTGCTTTAGAATCATCCTCTCATTCATCACTAATGACAACTCTTTCAGATAAGTATTAACATTTTTCAAAAGGTGAACTGAAGCTACTAATGATTTGCCCAAGGCAACCTAGGAGTCCAAGGCTGAGCTAACCTATGAATTCCCATTTCCCAGGTCCAAACTCTTTGATTTCTTAAATAAATGTGAAACTACAGTGTGGTGAGAATATTCTTTTGAGCATTTGTGAATAATACACTGTTTCCAACTAATTCAAACAAATGTGATGTTACACCTAGATAAAAAGCAGTTTATTAATAGTGTAATAACAGAATGACGTACCAAATAAGGCCAGTTCGGAATGTACATAAGATATAGTTAGAAATGAGCAAATTTGACCTATGTTATTTCATATTTGTTGATAAGTTTTCCTTCAAATAGGATATAAAATATATCATTCACAACCACATTGTTTCACTTTCAGATTGCATATGGATTATATCACATTTATTTCTGTTTTTCAGAAATGTCCCTCTTGCCATTTGCACTTCAATGGTTATTGTCACAGTTGGGTATGTTTTAACCAATGTGGCCTACTTCACAACTCTCAGCCCTGCAGACCTATTAATTTCCAAGGCAGTGGCAGTGGTAAGTCAATACAGAAAATATGGCTGTATAAAGATTTTTTTTAATAATTTCATAAACATAATAGAAAACAGAATTTATGATGCCCATTTCTTGAAATTAGCTTTGGATAATATTTTGAAATTGTTTTTGTTTTGTGTCTTCAAGTCATTTCTAAGTATGGTGAACCTAAGGTAAACCTATCACAGGACTTTTGGGGGGCAAGATTTGTTCATGGAAAGATTCTTTTGTTTTCCTCTGGTGCTGACTTGCCTAAGATCATCCAGTGCCCAGAGTATTAGCCCATTGCTGAAACCACTATACCATGTCAGCTCTCAAATTTATTTTTATTTTTTTAATTTAAAATTAAATCTTAAAATATGTAATTTAAAATTTTAAAATTTTAACATTATTTTAGTATTATTTTATGGAGCCCCTGGTGGTGCAATTATTTAAACCCTTGTGTTGGCAGGACTGCTGACCGAAAGGTTAGTAGTTCAAATCCGGGGAGTGAAGTGAGCTCCTTTCTGTCAGCTCCAGTTTCTCATGCAGGAACATGAGAGAAGCCTCCCACAGGATGGTAAAACATCCAGGTCTTCCCTGGGCAATGTCCTTGCAGATGGCCAATTCTCTCACACCAGAAGCGACTTGCAGTTTCTCAAGTTGCTCCTGACATGAAAAAAGTATTATGTTACAATTAGTAAAATACTTAACATTATTTCTAAATCATTTTGCTAAAAAAATCTACTTATGTTTCCCTCTCTTTTCCCCCAGACATTTGCTGAACGTTTAATGGGAAGTTTTTCTTCCGCTGTTCCCATTTTTGTTGCACTCTCTTGCTTCGGGTCTATGAATGGGGGCATCTTTGCTGTCTCCAGGTGAGTTAACATAATGCTGAATGTTGACAAATGTAAAACAATCCCTGTAAATGAAGAATAAACTAGAATTAATTCTTCAATGAGAACCCACAGTTACTATTTGATAATATAACATATGAGCAAAGGACTTTACAGAGTTTTCCATCACTGGGTACAAACCAGCAGCAAATTAAATGGAAACTGCCTGGTAGTACAGATGTAATATTGAAGAAATTTTGAATTGGGCTTAATAAGAAGTTTCTAGTCAAAGATTGATGGAGTGGTGATTTCTCCTCTCCACAGCACAGATATGTACCACTCAGGTGTCTCTGGAGTCATAGGAAACTCTTTGGAGTTAGTTTTTAATTTAAGATTGTCTGGTGAGGCCCTGCTTTTGATCCCGCCTTCCTCCCAGGCGCACCTCACAGGGATAAGAGTCAGGGCCTTCTCAGTGGTGGCCCCCTTGGCTGTGTAACTCCCTTCCCAGGGATATTAGTTCAGCCCCCTCCCTGCTGACCTTTTGGAAAAGAATAAAAACCTGGCTCTTCGAGCAAGCTTTTGGTAACACAGTGTAATTGGATAAATACAGTATGATAAAATAATGAATACGGAACAGCTTAGACGATGCAAATAGATAAGGAGTTGAAGTGGTAGAAATTAATTACTATAGTTTTAATTGGTTTTTATATGGATTTTTATTATGTTATATTAAATGTTTGAATTGATATGTATGTATGTATGTATGTATGTATGTATGTATGCATGTTTATGGCATCTAATTGTTGTCAATCTGTACGCCGCCCGGAGTCACCTCCGGGCTAAAAAGAGTGGGATAAAAATGCTGTAAAAAAATAAAAAAACATTTTTTGGGGGTAATGCTGAAACATGTGGAGTGGGAGGAAGTGACGCAAGTTTTGTCATGATGGTACAGCAATGCTAGTCAAAGCACTGTAAACTTTAGGCTATTGTTTTCACTGACTGTAATACTTGAGTAATCATGGTTTAGCTAAAGTGATAGATGAATGTGAGCACTTTTCAACAGTTTTTTAACACAAAGATGAAAGTGGGGTGTGAAGATAGATTAAAAAGCCTGTTTTATGATATTCTGAATTTGTGATCCTGACTCCTTTTAGGCCAGGATGTCAGATGCTTGTCTTACATAGGAACAAATAGTACTGCCGAGGATAACTTTGAATGTGTTCTACATCTCTGCTGAACTGCTTCCATTCATCTTGGTAATGAGTGTCTTTAAAAGCTGTCCAAATTTATTTTCCCACCAGGATGTTCTACGTGGCGTCCCGCGAGGGTCACCTTCCAGAAATTCTCTCCATGATTCATGTTCGCAAGCACACTCCTCTACCAGCTGTCATTGTTTTGGTAAATCATACAAACAAATGTCCCTGTACCAAGGCTGCATAGCAGGAGGCCACACTGCATGATTCAAACACAACTTAAATACTTCTTAAATCCCAGTTATTTATTTCCATTTCATAAGTTGGCTGTGTTTGGAAAGGGGTGGAAAGTAATTGCAGAAGTGATCTATTTGAAAGGCTCCTCCTCTGGCTGGATGTTAGTTGAGTTTAACTCTCTCAGGCAGGCACCTAAATCACACCTCATTACTTTTTATTTGAAAGGTTGAATGAGAGTGATTAGCAAAGCTACTCTCATTGGAATGAATCTTCCTGGTTTCAAAGTAATAAAATTCTACATAAAAGCTACAGACTAGTGCACTGTATGCGAAGACCCTGAAGTAGTATTATAGGTAGTTTGCATAGAAAATGCAGTAACAGATAAAGGGGTATTACCATCCTCTTATGGGCATTGATTCCAAGATATAAAATAATATTTGCTTTTGGGGTTTTCTGCTTTTTCTGTATCTATTAGCTGGAGAAATCCAAGGTTATCATCCTTGGCATATTTACTTGGAATGAAATTGCCTTAGAATCCATGAAGCTCTCTCCCAAGTAAGCCCACTTTGGATTGGGTCATATATATCTTCTGTTCTGCTACTGTGAAATGACACAGCTATGTGTTTATGGTGTGATTCCTTTGTAATTCATAATCTTCTATTTGTTGTATCAGTCATCTTGTCCAAAATCATCTTCACCATTGCTGCAACAATAATAATAATGCAATTTTCTATATCTGTACATTGGGAGGCAATGTACAGATATAGGGAATTATGTGTCATACAATCAGAATTTTAGAGTTAGAAAGAACCACAAAGGCCATCTAGTATAGTCCTCTGACATACAGCAATTCACAGTTACAGCATGAAAGATGCCCACCCAACCTCTGTTAAAGACCCTCCTGAGAATGAAAGTTCAGCATTCTCGAGGCAGTCTATCTCACTGTTCATAAAGTGAAGAAGTTATTCCTCACATTTAGGCTGAATTGTCCTTCTTGAAATATGAAGATACTGGTTTGTGTTCTGTTCTCTAGAACAGCAGGAAACAAGCTTGCTCCATCTTCCGCATGACATCCTTTCAGATATTTGTATATGACTATCATGGTACCTCTAACCTACTCTTCTCCAAGCTAAACATACACAGCTCTCTAAGTCATTCATCCTAAAACAGTGGTTCTCAGCCTGTGAGTCCCCAGATGTTTTCTCCTTCAACTCTCAGAAATCCTAACAGCTGGTAAACTGGCTGGGATTTCTGGGAGTTGTAGGCCAAAACACCTGGGAACCCTCAGGTTGAGAAACACTGTCCTAAAGTATGGTTTTCAGATCTTTTATCTTTTTGGTCAGCCTTCTCTGAACACAATCACGACCGTGAGATGGTAAATCTGGTTTGTAGCATTAACTTGAGGTTCACAAAGTTGGATAGCTCTTACCAAATTCAGTCTAAAATCCTGAGCAAATTATTTATCCCATGTATATGGAACCCACCACCTATCTCTAGATTACATGTCATGTTTATAATTGACTGAAAATCTTGCCTATAGATGTTTGATGTTCATTACACCAATTGTCTACAGAATTTCTTAGAATTCAAATTATATAGAGTGGATGAATTCTAATGGCAGTATAGTGATCTGGTTAGAGTACTGGACTGGGACTTGTGAAATACAAGTTCAGGTCCCCACTGAGCCAGGAAACTTGCTGGGTGATCTTGGGTCAGTCACTCTCTTTCAACTTGAACTACTTCATAGGTGAAGGAGAGGAGATCTGTGAATTCCGCTTTGAGCTAACTAGAGGAGAGAGACGTATGTAGTGGTTGAATAAAATAAATTATAATAGATAAAGAGATTTGAGACTTTTAATGCAGGTAACTGTGATACTTGGGTAAAAATGAATGTTATAGTGAAACTTCCGAAATTGATTGGGGCTGGATAGAAGGAAAGGGGCTGGATAGAAGGAAAAACAGAGAGAGTACATGACAGACAGGAAACAATGTTAGGAAATAATTCATTTCCACCCTCTCAAACATAAATAATTAACAGCTTCAAATCAGAATGTTTTCTAATGGACTAACTCAACAGTGACTATTACTGTTTCAGATCTTTAAAACAAATAGACTATTAGATCAAGCATCTTCTTTTCTACACTTTCAAAAATAATAGTTTTTGAAGTGTAAAAATGCCAATCACCCTGTTCTGAATTATGTTCCTTCAACTACACATCATCTAGTTTTGTTGCTGAAGTTCAAAGGTGTGGTACAATACCTGAATCCTAGTGTTAGTCCTGCTTAGTGTAGTCCCATTAAATAAATGAGATTGTCCTACATGTTTACTCAGCACTTAGCAGTTGATTCAGTCAAACTACTCTAGTGGGGACTAACCAATATTAATTAGGTCATTGTGTGTTAAGTTATTGAGGAAAAATAAGATACATACAGCTGCTTGACCAATCAGACACTCACTTGATTTCAAATTTTTTTGCAGCACCCTTTGACTATGATCATGCTTTTCACCAGTGATCTCTACAGCCTTTTGAACTTCCTCAGTTTTGCAAGGTGGCTTTTTATAGGATTGGCTGTTGCTGGGATGATTTATCTCCGATACAAACGCCCTGATATGCCTCGTCCTTTTAAGGTAACATCAGTAATTGTATATTTTCCAAGATGTTGCTGCTCTGCATATCCCCTTATCTCTTACTATTTGCCAGAGTAGGTAGCACTGGTGGGGTTTTCAGTCCATCAACACCTGAAGGACCACATATTCCCAACCTCTGCTTTGAGTTCACCTTGGGGCACTTTGTTGCAGATATTCCTGCTTCCACATACTAGATGTGTAATGAGCTTCAGTAAAGCCATTGGATTCTGAATTCCTCAAAGGACATACAATCTGTACATCATACTTAAAGTAATAGTCTTGGGACATAAATATTTACAGATCCAAAGCCTATAACATCTCACTAGATATTTGGAATTTTCTATTTCTTATCCCATCCGAAGTACTTTAACACCCAGTCTGGTGAAAAGTTCTGAAGCACTTGAAAGGTTGCCTTCTTTACAACAAGTTGATGGTATTATCAAACTGTGCTATACTGATAATTAAATCTGTGTTAGAATTATAACTGTAATCAGTTATGTTACTTCCCAGGCTATGATTCCCCCCCCCCCTTGCTCCTTGTTTATACCAACTGAATTTTATTCTAGACCTCTTGATAGTTTATTTGGATTTCACTGTTAATTGTATTGCAAAAGGCAAAATAAGAGTATCATTTTTTAAAAAAAAAAATCAGAAGCTGATTTTTAATAAAATCAGAAACATTTATTGTTTTGTTTTAATTTAAAAACTCCTTAGGTACTATTAGCAGGTACAAATTTCCCCAAATATATTATGCCATTGGCACTGTTATCCCTACTGAAAATATAATTTGTTTTGTTTTTAAACTACTGCCAGATTATTTATTGCACCAAGGGAAGAAAATCAAAAGAACCTTCCTTCATTGTAAACCTAAGCACCTTGCTTCATTGTAAAATTGATCTCAGTGGGCACTTACAGAATACACCATCCTTGTTGGAGTTGCTTCCTGTCTTCTAATTTAATAGAGGGACAGGAAAGGGACTTAGTACAAGAAAATGCATTTACAAGTCTTTAAATTTAAAGCCTGTACAGCAGTATAATGTGTGTCTGTGGGTAATTAAGCAGCTGCTGGGATGCCTGCTGCATAAAAGTACATTTAATTTGCTTTCTTTAGCTTCTTGCATTTGGAATGCCAGTCCTGAACACCTGCATTTCTGCATTACCCATGGTGTGCAACTGTGTTTTATCCAATTTACATTTCATGGAACATTAAATACCAGTGTCGTTCAATAGCCAAGGTCAAGCAATAAAGTCTCTTCATGTGTTTTCCAGGTGCCACTCTTTATTCCTGCTCTGTTTTCCTTCACCTGCCTCTTCATGGTTGCATTGTCACTTTATGCTGACCCTATCAATACAGGCATTGGCTTTGCAATCACACTGACTGGTGTTCCTGCCTACTACCTCTTTATCATATGGGACAAGAAGCCAGCATGGTTTAAGCAGCTCTTAGGTGAGTCAACATTGAAAGGGTCTCATTTCTTTCTTTTTTTTTTTGGTGCTTATTTATTTTTAGATACTCAAATAGCTCTGTTACTGAGGGTTTTAAAAATGGTTCTCAACTATTTTATCAAAATTAAAGCATCTTCTCAGTTATTTTAATACTTTTACATTTAATATATTTAATGTGCTTGTTTTTGCAAAAATAACTTAGCTTTATACATGAACACCAAGGTAACCTTGAACTGGTAGAAATCACCACACACAATTTACATTTTTAAATTGCAAGTTGTTTGATGTCATTCTAGAGCCCCAAAAGTCTTAAATTCTACAAAGTGCCTGTAATGGATAAGAAACAAGAATCTTCTTAGTCTTATTTCTCCACCAGGCTAGTCAATGAGATGGTCAGATGTTGTTGCAAGTCTCTTAGGAAGAAAAAAATATAACAATATTGATAAACAAATAAATACAGTTCAACATTTAAGAGGCTGAACATATTTCATGAATAACAAGGATCTCCAATATCCAATACAGTAGATAAGACCCTTCACATGGGCACATAGCAAAATCTGTAGAATAGGGGTGTCAAACCCATTTTGATCAAAGGCCACAATAGCCTTATGTTTGCCTTTAAAGGGCAATTGAATCTATGAATGGTGAATCCATGGAGCCAACTACATTTTTTTACATAATGATTGGTGCTCTTTAGTTCTTTAGTTACCCAAATGTTATTGAATCTTTTGATTATCTTACATGTGGACTTAGGATAATGGGATTTTCCACATCATCCGTGATTCTGAGGTTGGGAAGGGTTAATGGACATTTTTAAATTAGACGTCACATCCACATTTCTTGTATCTATACTGACAAAACAGAACAAACTGCAGTCTTCCACCAGCTCTAGTCATGATGTCTAATAATGACAAATACAAGAGTTATAGTCCAGATTCTAGGGCCATATAAAATGACATGGCGGATTCGGCTTGTGAGCCTTAAGCTTGATGCATGTGCTGTAGAAGCTCCTGCAATCTGGAATGAATAGGTCCCATGTTTGATGCCCTGTAGTTCCAAAAGTTATAAAACTTTTATGTAACAATCCACATGCTATTTATTCAGTCCAAATTATCCCTTCTAAAAGTAACATCTTATCTATCTCATCAGCACTTTTAATCTTGTACCCATTACTCTGGCCCGGCCCAGTTTTATAGTGTCTTGATATATTGTTTATGTTTGTTGTTATACTGCTTAACTGTTTTTAATTTGCTTTAGGTATTGTATTGTTGTATGGTGTTTTGAGGCCTTGGCCTATGTAAGCCGCATCGAGTCCTTCGGGAGATGCTAGCAGGGTACAAATAAAGTAATAATAATAATACTAATAATAATAATAATAATAATAATAATAATAATCTATCTCATCTATCTCTATCTATCTATCTATCTATCTATCTATCTATCTATCTATCTATCTATCTATCTATCTATCATTTATCTACCTACACACATACATGCACACATATACTGAATTTTTATCATGTCAGAAGCGACTGGTTTTACCATCCTGTGAAAGGCTTCTCTCATGTCACTGCACTGTCAGGCGGGAGCTCACTCCATCTTGCAGATTCAAACCATCAACCTTTAGGTCACAGGTCCAGCCAGCACAAGGGTTGCGCCACCATTGCACCACCGCGATTCCTATAAATTGAAATAATGCATGCAGTTTTTTTTCACACAAAGGACTGCTGAATGAGGGAAAATAAAATTCTATAAGGTTGATATTTCATGCCACATTCATAGACATTTTCTGCCTTCTATTTCCTGTTTTTTCTTCTTCTTCCCAGACCTCTACATGGTCTCACCTAATACACTTTGGCAAAAATCAAAACAATAATTAATTGGGTACAACACATATTATATATTATAGTATATAGGTGGAAGGAGGGGGTATATTACTTGATCAATGTTCTGTAAAGTGATTTTTAAAAACCTAAGCAAAAATATAACTAGCATAAGAGGTCATGATAAACCTCTAATTAATACAGCTTATAGCTAACTGAGGAAAGTCTTACAATTTTACCTGTGAAAATATCCCTTTATTACACTACATCAAGGTCTGCTGGATATTTTAAAATTAATAAATCAAAAGCAGGACAGCCCTTCTAATATAAAGGGGTCTACATGTAACCATAGAGCACTACAGTAGGGTAAAAAAAGAGAGCCATCAAACACATTAGCACCAAAATTTGCAAATTCAAGAATATAAATTTGACTCCTTTAATACTCCAGAGACTATGCTAAAAAAATCTGCTTGTTAATAAATGTTATATATAATACTGTTGTTCTTTTGTTGATTAAAAAAATCACGAAATGTCTTAAAGACAATAACATAAATAAAAGGAATCAGAAATAAAAATGCATAACACACTGTCTAGGAATTACATCTCCTGTTGAAAGTGATAGCTGCAGCACTTGAAAAAAAAATCTCATCTTTCACATGAAAGTCAGAATTTTTAAAGGGCTTAGCTCAGAGTCTCATGAATCTGTGTGGCCACAGGATGCCAGTATTGGACTATTTTATTCAGGGAAAAAAAGAGAATACTCCTTGCAAGATTATTGATGAGACCTGCTATCTGCTGGTTCTTAAAATGCAGCTTGAGTAAAACAACTGCAGCCGTTAAGCAGCTTGTTCATTAGGAACAATAGTGGTGATGCAAGTATAGTGCAATCCTAGGAGTTTGCTCAGAAAAAGAACATCATGTTCAAGGGAACTTACATATAGCCAAGTGCTTATAGATTTGCAGCCTAATGTAAAACTTAGTGGCATCCTATTTTTGATTGCCGAATTCATGCTATGAAACGTGGTGGTCTGTGATGCATTTTCAAGAAAGAAAAAGTAGCAATTCTCACCTATGGGCACAAATTTAGTAGCACTTGCTGATCCACTGCATCAGATAGTCTCCAAAGCACTAATCCAGTTAAAGAGACATGGCTTCTTAGGAATGTAACAACTGTTCATGGGACAGGGTTGTTGTAGGTTTTTTGGGTTGTATGGCCATGTTCTAGAAGCATTCTCTCCTGATATTTCCCCTGCATCTATGGCAGGCATCCCCAGAGGTTGTGAGGTCCAACCTCTGAGGATGCCTGCCATAGATGCAGGTGAAACATCCTGAGAGAATGCTTCTAGAACATGCCATACAACCCAAAAAAACTACAACAACCCAGTGATTCTGGCCATGAAAGCCTTCAACAAGTTCATGGGACAGTTTATTAATAGCATATAGAAATGGGTAATGTTCTTCTACAGAAACCATAGATTGAAGTTGTCCTACTTTTGACCATGAATTTAAGGGGGGTTTTGGGCCCCATTACATTAAGACTGGGATTTGCTATACATCGTGGTGAATCCAGGACCCCCCCTCCCAGTGTGGGGCATGAGAAGACTGTCACCCAGAACCCCACATCGCTTACCTTCCCCCTCACCCCATCCCACGGGGGGGGGGGGGAGTGTCCACCAACTGGCTTCCCCTGTTGTTTCCCATACAACATGGGAAGCTCCTGTGTTGCTGCCACAGTCCCTTACCATGCTTCCACCTCACTTGTGGCACAGAGCCCCACCAGAAATAGGTTGATGTCATGAGATGTGAGCTTGTGGGCTGCTGGCCACAAGTGAAGTGTTGTGCGACCCAGTGAATGGCAGCTCCATCTGCCCTGCAGCTGCTGCAAAGAGGTGGGAAATAGATTCTACTATGCTTTCCTCACCTCAGCGAGGGAAGGAAGAAATCTCCCTTTTCAGGTGATTTCTTTCTCCCTCCCCCCAGCCTCCTCAAAGTGTCTCTCCAACCCTCTTCTCGTTATATGTGTGTAGTGTGTAGTGGATCCCACTCCATTTCATGATGGAGGCACCAAGGATCCAGTGCTTAATGCTTATAAATTGCACCTTTTCCTTCCAAAGTTTACATGCTTCCAAACAAACAAAACAAAACAATGTTTTTCATCTCATCACCCATGTTAAGCAGACTGTGGGAAAGCAACTGTACTTCTAAGTCTAGAAATGTAAGGGAGAAATAGAAGGCCAATTTTGAGGATCCCCTCAAAATTACCGCAAATATGGAAATTGGTCATGCTACATAGATCACTATTGTTCCTTTTGTTTTGGCAACAATTGCTTAGATTCAGTGATGGGGGGAGCACATTATGGTCTACAGGTCAAACACTCGAAAACAGGAAGCAACCATACTCAAAGAAATTGAGAATGAAAATGGTGTGAAATGGCTAGTTATTACCCTTTCCTGGGGTCTGGGATGCTAGTTTGAAAAAATTGAGAATTTTTTTTGGAGAAAGATGGCTACTCCTGTTTTAAGATAAGTGAATATAGAAAAGTTGAGACATAAATATCCTTTCTCTCCTATGTTTTTAGGATAAATAGCTGAGAAGGACAAGGTCGTAAACTTCTTTTTCTACACATTGTTAACTTATTTTCAAGTCAAACTCTTTAGTGAAGATGCTGAGACAGGTATTAAAGGCCATACATGCTGGTTCCAGAAAAAGCAGTTATTCCACCTGAAACTTTAAGTGCTTCCCTTTAACTACCTGCTTGGAGGTAGAGAGCCATTGGATAGTTATTTTATTAGTGGGAAATGGATTACGCATTCTTCTAATACAGTGATGGAAAAAGTAGGACCTTGGAAATGATATTTGTAGGATTGCACTATTAAAAATTAAAGTAAGCCAATGTAATGTTTTAAAAATTATTAGTGACTTTTAATACAAAGTTGGAAAAAAGTCTGCATTTTTGCTTTTTACAGACCGAATAACATCAACTTTGCAAATAATTTTGGAAGTTGTTCCAACAGAAGAGAATTCAAGAACATGATATTTTACTGATGGAAAAAAACAGTGTTCGGCAAACATCCAGATTCTTCATCATCTAAGAAAAATGCTCTCTCAACTTTTCTGGAAAACATGGAAAATAATGAGCATCGGTTTTAAACAGATACTTGATAAGAACTATATATGGAACTGTTTTATGGTGTCAAAAGTTTTTTTTATATGTGGTTATTTGATACTCTAGATATAGGCAATGGTCTTGAATGGAGAAGCTATAAAATCTTTGTGGAACAAAGTGTACCTTTTCCTTTTATGAGGCCAGAGTCAATGTGATATTTACAATATTATGTCATATAAGGGATCTAGTCTTCCATTTTGATGGATTTATTATATTGTAAAAGAACATTTGTTTTAAAAATGTTCAAGATAACTAGAAGTATAAGGTGGGTGATGTGTGCATTTGTTTATTGGGTCTGAAGGAAGGCAGGAGTAAAAATGTAATACCATTACAAAACTACTCCTTCCTTTTTCATTATCACTCTTCATTGAGAACACTTTGGCACAAAAATGTCTACACTCCATTTAGCTCCCCAACTGTTGAATGTATGAATGGGCATTCTGATATTTTAGGTGAACGTAGCAATAGATGCACAGAGAGCTCTTTGTGACCAATGCTGACATACCTATAGCAGCATCCTATGTGATATAACTTGAAAAAATGCGTGCCATTGTACCATCTCTGTTATAAATCAATATGGATATAATATCATACATTGTATCAGGTGTACTGGACTGTGCTGATAGGGTGCTTTTATATATGCTTGTAGCTTACCCTGCCTCATTCATATAGCTTTAGCTATTGTGGAGTGTGAAGGCAGGTATTGTCTTCCACCTGTAACTAGGGATGTGAAACACCCCTAGTCACATTCTTCCAAATCTAACCTGCCTTGCTTTTTCCTCATTTTACACATTTTTTCTGATGTATGCATTTTCCCCACTGCTAAAGCATATTTGCATTCCATTTTAGCCATTCGTATTTAAAAATATGTGCATTGTTTTGTGTGCAATTTATTTCTCTGAAATGGTCTGTAAGCTTTGCAGTTTGGTGAATCCTTGAGGTGTGTGTCTTCATGCAATAAGGCTTAGAAGGTATTAAAAAACTACTTTTATTGAGGCTGTCAAATGTAGCAATTCACCCCACCCTTATCTTCCCTGTAACCTTCGACTGTTTTCATAGAGGTGCTGTGTTTTTCTTCCAACAAAAAAACTCTACGAAGAAGAAAAACATCAGAAGAGTTATGCAGTATTTTTGTTTTGTATCAGCAAATCATCTGGAAATCATCTGGAAATTATGGAGCCCCCAGTGGTGCAATGGATTAAACTCTTGTGCCAGCAGGACTGCTGATCAAAAGGTCAGCAGTTCCCATCTGGGGAGCAGGGTGAGCTCCTGTCTGTCAGCTCCAGCTTCTCATGCGGGAACATGAGAGAAGCCTCCCACAAGATGGCAAAATATCTGGATGTCCTCTGGGCAACGTCCTTGCAGACGGCCAATTCTCTCACACCAGAGCGACTTGCAGTTTCTCAAGTCACTCCTGATACAAATTTAAAAAAATCTGGAAATCTTGAATGTTTGGTGATATTATTTTGATGACTGAAATAATTTATTTTTTAAACCTTGCTCCCATGGTTTTGTGCCCTGCTTCATGTTGTAGCCTAAACACGAGGTTTGCATTGTTTCAAAACAGCAGTTATAAAACCATAAGAAGAGCTGTGATGGTCAGACCAATGACCTGGCTAGTCTAATGTTATTTTTGCATTATAACCAGCTAAGTGATTATGGAAAACCAGAATGTAGAATGAGTGCAATATTCTTCAGCAGTTGGTATACAGAGGATGCATGGTACCCCTGAAACTGAAGGCAATATATCAATTTTCAGATTAGGTTTATCTCCATGGTCTTCCAGTTGTACCAGATTACAGTATGGTGGTTATGTTTAATTGATTCAGGCTGTATGAGCGCCACAGTCTGAGATAGTTCATGTTAAGAGCAAACTTCATGTCACTAGCACTACACCAAGGTTTTTATTACTGTATTGCGTAAAATGTAGAAACCTGTAGGATTTGGACCATAGGGGATGTTAATTTTCTTAGTATGATTTTTTAAAAGTGTGGTAATGTATCTTAATAGCAAATTACTATGGAATCTGCATTCATTATGGAGATAGAGTGTTTTCCAATCCTTAGAATGGCAATTTAAAAAGTTGGTTCTTTTGAAATTTGTAACTAGAATGTAAAGAACCACCAAATTAACTGTATGTCTCTATTGTGGCTTTGAAAGTGCCATTGCCCCATGGTAAATTGCTTTTGAATTGTATGCTTTTAAAAAGTAATTTGTGCTAGGATGTGGGATTCTGTTTTTCCTAAGGAAAAAGCCCCCCCCCCCAAAAAAAAAGAAAGAAAAAAAAAGGAGAAGAAAAAGAAAAAAATCATTAGGTGGCTATAAGCATGTGTTCTTATAGCTTTAGAAGCACTCTTGTGTTTTGCTTTAGGAAATTATTTATATCAACTAAAGAAAAGATGTCCCCATAATTTCTCCTGTATCATATAATATTTCTGTTTTATATATTACATTTTAAAAAATACCTTTAAAGAAAGTAGCCATTATTATGTGGCAAATGATAGTTTGTGTGAAGCAGAGGGCATTTTTAATTCTGTTATATGATAAAGTTTTCTATTTCAGTAGCTACCTCATGACAAGAAAAAAAGCTGAGAGTCAGATGCTACTTTGACTTGCTGATCCTTACAATTTTGTATCTTGCCTAGTCATAAATTTGTGCCATCACCATTCCTAAAACAGATCATACTTACATCATTGGGATGCATGGATATGGAAAAGGATACTCTTTGCGAAGTTCCTTCTCCAACCAGCACAGCTTGGAGATAGATCTGCAAATAAAAGAAAGCTGTTCCTTCCAGTTTCCTTGAAGTTTCCTTGGCTGGGCTTGCATGCTATACTAAGCCAAGCTTCCTTAGGAATCCAAGTTTATTGTTTACAAGCAGTGTGCTAGTACATGCTACTTGATCACTCTTGATGCATCTAAACAACGCATAGATATCCATTTATGGTTTACTAAACCTAATACTCTTGTCTGGTTTCTCCCCTGACAAGCTAGAGAAAGGAACCAACAAAGCCACCAGTTATTTCATGACTTTATGCCTGCTCCAGATGTTATGACTATTTGTGAATGGAATCTTAATGGTTTATTTAACTGATCCTGTGTGTAGCAAGAGTGAATGAGAAAGGCAGCATGCATAATACGTATCAAGAATTCTGCTTTATAGTGATGTCTGAGTGCTTCAGGTGGCATTTCCCCCATTTAATATGTTTCTTTAGTTTCAAGAAAGCAAAAACCTTCCTTCCTGGGTTGTTGTAGGTTTTTTGGGGCTGTATGGCCATGTTCTAGAAGCATCCTCTCCTGACGTTTTGCCTGCATATGTGGCAAGCATCCTCAGAGGTTGTGAGGTTTGTTGGAAACTAGGAAAATCGGGTTTACATATATATCTGTGGAAGGTCCAGGGTGGGAGGAAGAACTCTTGTCTGTTGGAGCTAGGGTTGAATGTTTTGAATGTTTCAATTGGCCACCTTGATTAGCATTTGATGGCCTGACAGTTTTTAGGTGTGGCTTGTTACTGCCTGGGAAATTCCTTTGTTGACTTCAACAATACCTTTGATAACACTTTCCTTCCTGTATGTCTATTTATCTAAGTATCGAAGTATTAAAATGGGCAGTGATCCCAACTGATGTTTCATAATGTCGGCAACATGGTGATAAGTTTCTCTTTCTTGTTTTCTGAAGTTTCTTGGTTTTACTTTATGCTTTTTTTGTATTGTTTTACATTTGGAAGCATAACATTTAAAAATGTTTCAGACATCACTTTTTAGTAAGATTAGTGCCCCCCTTGCAGGCACTGGGCCCTTAGAGAAATTGCCTCCCTCATTAATTGTGCCAGTTTCACATTCTGTATGCTGTGAATAAATTTGTAAAGTAATAGTATGACTTTTAGAAAAACACATGGGAGACTTATTATTCTAATTAATTATTCCATGGCATGAATATTTACCATCATGATAATAATATAAACCTATATTAATGAGATACCCACAATCTGATATAACTACGACAGCAGGTCCAAAAGAGAGTAAACAAAGATTTATGTAAAACCAATGGTTATTGTTGGACAGTGTACCAGAGAGATGAATTCAAAGGGCTCTAACATGGTGTGAAGTGAACACAACTCAGGTTTTAGATTAGGGATTGTGCTGTAGCCGTAATGTAGCCTCCACATGGGATAAAACATTATTTTCTACGCATTGTGTACAAAAAAACTTCCCTTTTGCCCCCCCCCCCCCCAATCTTCCTTTTATTTCAGCCGAGCTTCTTGTTAATCTCAGAGATCTGCCTGGGAGAGATCTGAGTGTGGGCAATGCTTGTCAGGCGGTAATACCCTTCTCTCCCTGCAATTCCTCTGCTTAAAATTGTTTCTACATTACAACAGCTTTGACAGACCCATAGTTCTGCTGTCCATCTCTAGTTAAAAGCTATATATGTGAGTGCAGACTTAATTAAATACATTCATGCAGAACTACAGGAAGAGGTATCTACTGTTTGTATCAACAAGACCTTAGAGCCCAATCTGCTAGAAATGCTTACATGAATGGGGATGGGAGAAACAAATGCTGCAAATTCTATCAATCTCTATTTATCACCTACTGTATCTATTGATTTGCAGCTGCCTTACACATTGTGTAGTGTTGGTCCTAAGCACAGCTAAAATAAGCTAATGCTGTCACTACTTTTACTATTGCTGATTCAGCCATGTAAAATTATGTGTCACGAACAGTAAGCAACACAATATATTATGCTTGTCTTTACTCGTGTGTAATGGTATGAGAATTGGTAAAATGATGACAAGTGTATGTTAAATTGCTGCAAATTAAACTAACTTTTTTGCATAGGTAAGGTGTGAGGAAAATGCAGCCTTTCAGATGCAATTAGGTTACAACTTCCAGCATTCTTCACAATTGTATCAGCTGTCTAGTTCGAATGGATTTTGGTCCTGGCACATCTGGAGTGTTGCACTTTTCCCACTTTAGCATAGGACAGAACATCCTTGCAAAAGACATACCCTGTTCAAGATCATATAGTTCTGGTGTGGTGCTGTACATGCACGGCAAGAGTATATATATTATTAATTGACTTTTGTGATGTACACCTATATTGTTAGCCTCATTGAGTTCAATGAACCATGCTCCTCAGTTAGTTCACAGGACTGCTATTGAAACATAGGCAAGTTTGTGTATTTTAAATAAGCTACAGGTCAGTTTACATTTTGATTCAGGGGATTTTGAAGCAAATTCCAGTGATTTTGACAGAATGTTTTTTTGTTTTTGTTTTTTAAAAATCGAGACTTGAACTAGTTTTTAGCATTTGAATTCCTAATCTAAAGCATATTATTTACATATTCTGGAAATATCT